GGGCTTTATTTGCTTCCTGTAGGGTTTAGGGTTTAGGGGTTTAGGGTTTAGGGTTTAGGGTTTAGGATTTTAGGGTTTAGGGTTTAGGGTTTTAGGGTTTAGGGCTCCTTTAAGGGTTCCTTTAAGGTTACTTTAAGGGATCTATAAGGGCTCCTCTAAAGGCTTCCTTCAAGGGGCTCCTTCTAAAGGGCTCCTTTAAAAGGTTCCTTTTTGGTTTTAGGGTTCTTTTAAGGGGTTCCTTTAAGGGCTCCGTTAAAGGGCTCCTTTAAGGGGTTCCTTTAAAGGGTTCCTTTTAGGGCTTAGGGGGTTTAGGGTTTAGGGTTCTTTTAAGGGCTGCTTTTTGGTTTCCTTTGAGGGTTTCCTTTAAGGGCTCCGCTAAGGGTTCCTTTAAGGGTTCTGTTTAAGGGTTGCTGTAAGGGTTCTTTTTAAGGGTTCCTTCAAGGGTTCCTTTTTGGGTTCCGTTAAGGGCTCCTTTAAGGGTTCCTTTAAAGGCTCCTTTTAGGGTTCCGTTAAGGGGTTCCTTTTTGGGTTCCTCTTCGGGTTCCTTTAAGGCTTTCCTTTAATGGCTCCTTTAAGGGTTCCTTTCAGGGGTTCCTTCAAGGGTTCTATAAGGTTTGCGTTTCGTTTTAGGTTTAGGGTATAGGGGTTTAGGGTTTAGGGCTTAGGGGTTTAGGGGTTTAGGTGCTGTTGTGGTGGCTGTTATTGTTGTGGTTTTGTTGTTGTTGCTGTTGCAAGTGTGGCATTCCGGATTGAAGTTTTTTTTGGGAGTGTAAAGCTCTTGCCTCTTCTTAAACCCTACCCTACACCCTAAACCCTAAACCCTAAACTCAAGGTTTAGGGCTTAGGGTTTAGGGGGCCCTAAGCTCTAAGGACTTCAGGAGGGATCCCTAACAGGGACCCTTAATCCCATGACCTTAAACAACCATTGTATAGTCCTTGTATACCCCTTATATAGCCAGGTAGTCTTCATATCAACCCCAATAACCTACAAGGGTCCCTATTAAGGGTCCCTCCTGAAGCCCT